GCACATTCACGATCGAAATTGGAGCTCTGTGTTCTTGCAGTCCATCACAGGACTGTATGACGAGCAAGATAAGCTCAACAATCAGATGGGGTTTCAAAAGTCCATCTATCGCGAAGACATTGGCCAGCAAAGTGCTAAATATTATCACGAGGGCATGGAGGAAATCAATTACTTTGGGTAAGCATATCATTCTCCCGCTGACTGGGGACTATCCCAGACTATCCGCACTCAGATTGCTAATACATTACCTAGATACCCGGAGTACGAGATATACCCATATCTGCGAGATGTGGTGAACAATACAATTGAGAATAACGAAAGACTTTTCCTGTCCCATTTTACGAGCACAACCCATCACCCATGGGGCACGCCCGCAGCATACCACCAAGAGCAATACTTTGCCGCAGACGGTCTCATGACGAAGCACGAGGACATCAACAAGTATTTGAACGCAGTCCGATATGTGGACACATGGCTTGGCGATATGATGAAGGTTCTCGACGAAGCCGGGATTGCAAACGAGACATTAGTCGTATTCGTTGGAGATCAGTATGTTGCACAGCTCGGCAAGAACAACCAGATAACCATATACTAATTCCAAACAGTGGCCAGGCGTTCCCCGAAGACGCGCCAGTCTCCGGTACCTATGAGAACGGACATATCAGCAATTTCCGGATTCCTCTTGTTTTCCGACACCCGCTATTGCCCGCACTCCAAATCACAGCAAATGCAACCTCGATGTCTGTCGTCCCGACCATTCTCGATCTACTTGTGAACTCGGGCTCGTTGAATGAAATAGACTCAAGTGCAGCTCTAGACCTGATGAATGAATATGAGGGACAGTCACTGGTGCGCCCATACCAAGCCACCCACAATGGCCGACAAGCATGGAACTTTGGCATTATCAACCCCGGTGGTACAATGCTCAGTGTTGGGTCTGCGGCAGTCACGTATCGACTCATATTGCCGCTCGCTGAGGACTTTGAGTATATTTTCTCTGATCTAGGCACCGACCCTAATGAGTTGAGTCCATTGCGTGGGTGGTCCCTCGAGGATTTGATCAGCCGTGTACAAAGGCAACATGGAGACAAAGCCGGGAAGTGGCTGGTAGACGCGGAGAAAGTAGGAAAATGGTGGATTGAGGAACAGAAAAGACTATGGAATCACCAATAATAGTAATTTAATAATGCAAATATATTTATTTTCAAATATCAGCCCAAGAAAAAGAAATAGCAAAGACAAAAAGACGAAAAAGAAGAATAGGAAGAGAAACAGGTTCCCTTGATATTGTTCGGTTTCTTTGTCTCCGCCTGAGGCAGACACACCCGCCCCACCTCCACCTCACGTTTTATATTCGTCGCATTTCTCGCGAATTCGGTCTTTTATTTGGGCAATTCTCTTTTCAACAGGAATTTGATTGATTGAGATTGCACACTCTGACCTCGGAAGTGTAGAGCATTAGTCGTGAGACCCCAACCCGGACTCATCCTGTGCATCCGACCCCTGTACCCCCCACCATTTGATTGCATCCCGGCAATTATTCTTCCACTCTTAAGCTTCTCACTGCAATATCCACCGACGAATCATGCAGGGAACATATTCCACCGATCCCGAATGGGCATCAGTCACCCCAATTGATCTGGATGATGGCTCGAGCTCGGGTGCCATGCCACTGGCGACCATCGCCTACCCAGACGAGTACCTCGAGGCGACCTCGTATTTGCGTGCCGTGATGGCCGCAAACGAGATGTCTGAGCGGGCATTGAATTTGACAAAAGATGTGATCTCGATGAATCCTGCGCATTACACTGTATGGTAAGTTTGCTAGCAATGGTGTACCCGTGACATGCCATATCGATATCTGACATTTTATACAGGATCTACCGAGCAAAGATTCTATTTGCATTGGAGAAGGACTTGAATGAAGAATTGAGCTGGCTGAACGATGTTTCATTGAAGTATCTGAAAAACTATCAAATTTGGTATGTCGACTATCACCCGACAAGCACCAACGCCAGAAAGCCATGAAAGAAAACGACAAAAAAAGCAAAAGACCCAAAAAAACAAAACTAATACCTAAAACAGGCACCACCGCCAAGTCCTGCTATCATCAAAAGCGCACTTTCCGACCTTCCCACCTAAAGAAGCAGACTTCCTAATGGAGATGTTCGCCCAAGACTCCAAAAACTACCACGTATGGACCTACCGCCACTGGCTCGTGCGACACTTCAAACTATGGGACCAACCACGCGAACTCGAAGACGTGGAATTCCTCCTGAAAGCCGACGTGCGCAACAACTCCGCCTGGAACCATCGTTACATGCTCCGGTTCGGGCCGCGGGACACATCGGCCCCCGACGCGGGAATGGTGAACGCGGGTGATCCTTCGACCGCGCCGGCGGAGAAGGGCAGGCTGTCTGTTGTCGATGAGGACATGATTGATGGCGAGTTGAAGTTCGCCCAGGAGGCTATCCTGCGCGCGCCGGAGAACCGGAGCCCGTGGTGGTATGCGCGTGGTGTGCTGAGGGCTGCTGGGCGTGGATTGGAGGAGTGGGAGGAGTTTGTTAGTGGGTTTGTTTCTGAGGGGGCTGTTAAGAGTTCGCATGCTGTTGAGTGGTTGGCGGATGTCTTTGCTGAGGGCAACGGGAGGGAGGCGGATGCTGTGAAGATGTTGACTATGTTGAAGGAGGAGTTTGATCCTATTCGGAAGAATTATTGGGATTATCGTATTCGGAAGTTGGATCAGGCTGTGGCTTGATTTGGAAAGGGCATTGCAGCTGTCATTGTTGTATGGATGGTGGAAAATGTGTGGTGCTGGATAACTTCTATCGGAATAATTCCCATTTTTTTTGAGTATCTTGGATGTTTTACGGAAAATTATTGCGTCCAAATGAGATGACATTTTGAAGTAAAATATCGCTGCATACGTTGTATGATTGTATGGGGGATGCCAGGTCCTAGGCCTCTATCTAGATGATAGTAATTAAAAAAATCTGACTCTAAGACAAGAGGGGCGGAAAGGAAAGGAAGAAAAAATGAAATTAACAACTGTAGTGCCGCAAATAAAACGCCGGAAGTCAAGCCAAAATATATTCATCATCATCAATATTCATGCCCATCCCTCATCCAACATTTTGCGCCATTCACAAGCCATATCAATAGTGACATAGCTACCACCACAGACAATGATAACAACCCGACTCTGCGAGTTGAGATTAGGAACAAGCTGCTTAAGCTTCGAGTTGAGTTTCTCGCCGACCTGCGGCTCAAGCTCCTGGTCCGTCTCATTATCCGGTGAGGTCGACCGGTCATCCCCATAGCCCTCATCGCGGTAAGCGACATCAGTCTCAACCAAGCCTCTCTTCCGCTTCTTGATGCTCTGAGCGCCGGCGCCGGTAGTCGCAGACGCAGGAACAGCAGTAGCAGCATCGCCTATGGCCGCCTCGATGCAGACACCGCATGCAAGCTCGACGAGGAGTCGTTCGTCGTTGGCGAGGCGGAGGACACCCCGGGCAGCATCTGCATCCGAGAGGACGGTGCTGTGCACCTTGATGCCTGGGGGCGGGGACACGGCGTACTGGAAGGTTGTTTCCGAGACGCGAACAGCGCCGAGAGAAATGGCCTGAGATGTAATCTTTGGGAGAGAGATAAGGGATTTGTTGGCGATAGCTGCAGCCAAGGAATCGGTACCGGCCGTCTCAATGGCGAGGAGGTGAATGGGGTTTGGTGTAGAGGAGGAAGAGGAGGTAATTTGCTTCTTTTGTCGTCGCTTTTCGATGCCCATGACGAGGCCGTTGAGGAGACCGCCGCCGCCGACGCTGCAAAGGATAGCGTCTAGTGGAAGGGCCCGGTCATTGTAGGCCTTTTTGTCTTCGGGGCTGGTGGCAGGAGGAAGCTGGGTCTCGAGCTCGTCGATGATGGTGCCGTTTCCTTCCCAGATAGGCTGGTTGTCGAATGGATGAAGGGCAATCTTAATCACATCCTGGTCATCCCCGCTGCTGGTCTTCATGATAGTTTCCCGCATGTATTCACCTGCTTCTGAGAATGTCTCGCCATGACGGATGACGTCTGCTGCGCCTGCTGCCCGGATCTTGTCAAGCATCAAGGGCTTAGTGCCCATGGGAACCACGACAGTGCATGGGTAGCCCAGGCTCCGGGCTGCACAGACGGCTGCCAGTCCGGCGTTGCCTCCAGACGAGGCGTAAAAGTGGACTCTGCGGCCTATGTTTGCTGGGTTGCGAAGATGAGACAGGATCTGGTTGCCCATAGCACGGGACTTGAAGGAGCCGCTGGGCTGCACGTTCTCTAACTTCAGGAAGATCCTACATCCAGCGGCCCGAGAAAGGCACGCAGACTCAACCAGTGGTGTCTCGATCCATGGCGTTTTGAACTGCAGTTGATCGCAGGCGGAAATATCGATGCTCCCCATTTTGATGTGTTGAACAAATGGAAGAGGAAAAAACGTTTCTGTTGGTCACCGGAGGAGTTCCAAGATCAGAAGTATAGAAATGAAGCCCCCAAAATAGTAGTAGATTGTTGAGTCGAGTGGTTACACGACAGTAGGGTGTATGTTCACTAAAATAGAGAGATAGGGAGATATCGGGAAGAAAAAGAAAAGCGATAAATACTGAAACATCCAAACTCCAGTATGCAACTATTAAGACATGTTTTGATATACAAAGTGAGCCTCCAGGGCTAAGGCCAAGGTTTTCCGACGGGAAACTCCAGTTTTCCGTCTGATAGGATGACCGTAGTATCCACGGCTCTGGCCCAGTCTTTCCCGTCAACAACCTTGAGGGAAACTCCAATTATAGTGGGTCGGCCATGACGCCCATGACATACCGTTTGTATTAGAGTGGCCAAGGCTGGGAAACTTGACGTCTCAGCTTTCAAGCTGTGGAGGACCCGGGAAAAAAACCTCATAGAGCCTGGCGTATCTGCGGAGAAAATGCAAATCTTCATCCAGACGGCCCTCTCAGCCGCCTATGATTGGTCGCCATTCGATTCCTCTTATCAAATCGAAAGCTCAAAAATAGGCGCATTACTCCTCAGTGAGCAAAGGAGGAAAAAGAATACCTTTCTTAACGCCCTCACCGTAATCTGGATCTGAACCGTACGCCGTGGCCGCGAATGCCCGCTTGGAGGGGTCCGAGGTATTTACACAGAGCAATTCTAGAAGGTCATGAGACTTGCCGGGCATGAACGGTTGCAATAAAATGCCAGCGATCCGCAGCGATTCCGCCACGTTGTAGATGACTCGTTGGGAGTTGGGAGTTTTCCACGGCTCCGCCGCATGGAAGTACTTGTTAGTCTAAAAAAATAGGTCAATACTCGCCGAACCCGTGCGGGGATGATCACATCTTACCTTCTCAATAATGCTCATAGTCTCTTGCAGTGCGGCACGCGGGTTCAGATTCTCCATAAGCTCGGCAACCTGCGGAGGTGTCTTCTCCAACATTTCCTGATGTTCCAAGTCCTCAGGGGTAGCAGCTGGAAGCTTATCCAATCCGGCATCGATAATGTAAGAGCGCAAATTGCCACGCGCACATCCAATTGTACGCAGAGTAAGGTTTCCGATGCCCCCTGAAGCAATTTCTTGTAATCCCGGATGATAAAGGAATTGTCAAAGTCTGCATCATCTGCAAGGCCACCTCGGTACGCTAGGAAAAATCTCATGCCATCGACTCCGAACCGCTCAATGGCGAAAAACGGGTTCACAACATTGCCTGTGGATTTAGACATTTTCTCACGATTCATCGTCCAGTGTCCGTGCACCAAGACATTCCGAGGCAGGGGAAGATCAAGTGCCATGAGGAAAGCAGGCCAATAAACACAATGGAATCTGCCAAATGATTAATTTTTGCACGCGGTCTTTCGGGAGGACTCGTGAACTCACCGAATAATATCTTTCCCAACCACATGCAAGTCTGCAGGCCATGCAGATGTGCTTTCTTTTCCAGGTGGGAAAGGATACCCAGCTTTGGTCAAGTAGTTGACCAGCGCATCTAGCCACACGTAGATTGTCTGCGTGTCATCGCCGGGAACAGGTATGCCCCAAGTCAGACGTTCCGCAGGCCGAGAAATCGAGAGATCTTGTAGTCCCGTCTCAACTCCCCTGACCACAGCAGCTGTGTAGGAGGTAGGAGTGATGAACGGATCTTCTCTTTTGTACAAATCAAGAAGGCGATCTTTGAATGCTGAGAGACGGAAGTGGTAGTTGGTTTCTGAGGACCACTCTACCTCTTTGCCCGTTTCTATTGAGACCTATGCGTGGTTAGTATTCATACTCGTTCAAGAGCTAATACATTACATACCATGCGTTTCCTCCCTGTTGATGGGTCTAAGGAGTTCTGCACTTGCGTCTGTGGGTAAAATGTTTCATCGCTGACTGAGTACCAACCTTCATGCTTCGAGGTATAGATATAGCCCCGGTGTTGCAACATTTCCTACTCGTAATTAGCTATGCCCTACTATGAACGGAAGATAGTCGCCTACCCAGAAATATTGGACAGCATCTCGATGCGCGGGGTCGGTGGTTCTGATAAAATGATCGTTGTCGAGGTTTGCAGCCTTTGCTAGGGCCTATATTATATAAATCGAGTTAGAGACGTCCTTGGATATGATGACGGGGACTCGCACCTCAAAGGTTCGGCAGTTCATGTCGCAAAATGCTTGAGTATCCATGCCCGCTTGAATGGCAGCTTGTTGAATCTGTGATTGATGTCAACACCCATTATCGACCTTCAATCCTATTCATATCTTGTACCTTCATTCCATGCTCATCGGTTCCAGTCAGTAACTGAGCATCGGTGTTCCCGAGTAAGACCTGCCACCGCTTCATGATGTCGGCGATCACCATTGTGTATAGATGGCCGACGTGAGGAGCTAGAGGATAGAAGTATTGTTAGCAAATCAGTTTTTCATGTGCTCTTGACTACATATAATTCTCACCGGCATTGACATAGAAAATTGGCGTTGTCACATAGTAAGGCTTGTTAGATCTTTGCGGCGTAGTTGCAACTCCGCGTTGGGGAGTGGCTGCCCACCCATGCTTGCGGGATGTACAGTTCCACAGATGCCTCGATCTCAGAAGCTGAGACGCCCTGAATATCGAGCGAAGTGGCGTCCTTGTTGTAGCCATTGGGATAGTGGTAACGGTAAGAGGAGCGTCGCATGTTATTCCGCACATCTCGGGTGGTCCGAGCTTCTCCGCAACTCTCGGCCATTTTTTTGCGCGTACATTGTCGCGCTTGCATCGTCATCGACAAAACTCCCGGACATACCTCAAACTTGTCGTCAATAAGTACAGTTTTTTTTTTATAAATATTACTTGAACCTTATTTCGGCTTCGTCTTACACCACGCACAACTATTACCCGGTTTATTGCCAACTTGAAATACCGATCGCAATGGCCACAGCAAGCGAGGATACACTGACCAAAGTGTCGACTGAGGGTAAGTCTAAGATTATAAGCCAGTCTCATCCCTTATTGGAAGCCAGCTGACATTTTGTTTGCTTCTTTGCTCAGCTGCGACCGAGTTCATCAAGACCTTCTATCCAGCTTTGGGATCAAACCGCGAATCTCTCAGCTCTTACTACTCCCTCGAGCCCACAACTATCCTGTTCAATGGAAATCGTGTTGCAGACGGCGCGGCCGTTCAAGAAATCTTTATCAATCAAATGTCGCCAACATACTACGAAGTCCAATCATACGACTGCCAGATCATCAACAAAGCATACCCTACCATTTTGCCGGGTGGCGGACTGAAGCCACAGTCAGAGATGGGAGTCAAAGACATGTCATTTCTCATTGTAGTCAGTGGATTTGTGCGCTATGGTGAGGGTCGCGATCAGCCGCAGCGTGGATTCAGCGAGACGTTTGTTCTGGTCCCCAATCCATCTGCAGAGAGGGCGCGGGGCCGCAAGGATTGGCTTATCGAAAGCCAGAACTTCCGCCTTGTCGTTTGAGCCACCATACAAATTTGATCCAACAAATTACAAATAGCCACACAAGTCAACAAACCATGCCATGTGACACGGAAGTGAAAGAGAACTGAGACTGAGCCATGTCTACCCATCACCAATGATGAATAGCTGGGAGATACGATGCAAGAAATGATCCACTGCTTGAAATTGCTTCAAAACTAGAGCGCCAGACGCCAGGAAGGGAAGGAAAATGATGGTATTTCCCCCATTATTATGGGGATTACGGCCCAGCCGATGTCTTGCGCGGTATGCGGAGGTTTGCTTTGACTCTTTCAAGGAGCTCCTCACGCGTCGCAGCCTCACTCGGTAAAAGGCCCCTCTGAGATATCTGGTCAGCGCACCATTCTCAAGAAAATGTATGATTATCTGGACTGAGTCATGTCTGAATAAATCACTGGAACATACCGCTTTAAGCCATCTTGTCATCTCATCCAGTGTCCAGTTTTCGGGGTCTAGCTTCTATTAGTCTTTGTTTGATAGCCAGTAACACCTATTCTCACCGCCAGTGGGATCTGCCTGTGCAGGAAGAACATCGCTGCCCAAGATGGTATAGGCTGCCACAGCAGTGACCATTCCTGCAAATCCTATATAGGAAGATTGTGGTCAGAAATGTGGACGAGTACCTTATCTTGAAAGTATTACCTAGGAATAGATTCTATAAAGTCCAGCATTAGATACATTTCTCAAAAGTGTAGACTGACATGTTGGTAGTACCTTGGAATTCAATGCTCTGTCTAAAGGGGTCGGCATCTCGAAAAATGTTGCAATGATTCTTTGAATTTCTTGAGTTGACGTAGAATCCTTCTTTCTGAAGAGGTTGAAAGAGAATAAATAGAAGAAGAAAAAGTCTTAGGACACGTGCAAAAGACAAGTAATTCAAGATGAATAGATGTGAACAGTTCGTCAAGACGCGGGTTGTACCGCCACACCGCGCCACCTCCACTGCTGCCTTCGAACTATACGGTTGCACCTACTTCAACTTCATTCTTCAATATCTCCCGGTTAATGGCACTTTCCTTTGAGTTATTATATACGTAAACATAGAGTCATGGTTATTACCTACGTAGAAAATGTAACGCCAAATTTGTAACTCTCATTGTTCTAAGCCATTGCATCGCATATCTATCTATACTCACCAGTCTATCATTATTATCCTCGCTCATTTCAAATCACTTCAAACAGCCTGTCTTGATAGAAAATATGGAAGCAGTCATCTTCCTGTCCTCGGTTACATTCGTCATTGTGGTAACAGCTGCCATTATACGGGGGTACGATTGATCAGTTGCAGTATCAGGCCAGACATTGACCCTATTTACAGCATAGCCTTTTACAGGCGATACCGAGTCCGCCTGCAGGTCACATCAAAAGAAATGTCTCCTTCACAGAGTTTGGACTTGGAGAGATTCGACCCTGAAGGAAGTGCACCCGTTCAACCGCCGCAACTACATCACCATTCACGACTGGGAAGCAGAAATTCGAGATGGCCAGGATATACCGACCGACGGACTCAACCATCGCGAACAATGGTGGATCATTTTGCGTCATACCGAATTCCCGAGGAAGCAGATACCACCATCCATCATTTCCCGCAAGCGCATTCGCCCCGAAACCTCCCAGCCACATTTATGGCCCCGGCTGCACACGCCACAACACCCCCACCAGCCACTGCACTTACCCCACCTGAGGCACCCACTTTAAATCCCTCATGACTAAGCAAGGGCTTTTGCAGCTTCAAGCCCTAACGTGATCCGCACACATTCACCTTAGAGGCCAGTGTCGACAGTGAGCTTTCTCTTTTGCACCTTGCTTCAAAACACCCGCAACCGTCATTATGCCTGCCGAAGTCTCCGATATCAAGCAGTTCATTGAGATCTGCCGCCGGAAGGATGCCTCCTGTACGTTTACGCTGCATTGATGGACTTCCAAGATGAGACTTAGAGATGGTCATTGATGCTGACTGTTTACGCCTCTAGCCGCCCGCATCAAGAAGAACGGCAAGACCCAGCAGACCAAGTTCAAGGTCCGCTGCCACCGCAACCTCTACACCCTCGTCCTGAAGGACTCCGACAAGGCCGACAAGCTCAAGCAGAGCCTGCCCCCTGGTACGTTTCGATCGCATTGGTCCGCCGTCTAAGTTGCTGGGAAAATGGAAGGATATACAGCTTGGAAGATGGATTTTGGATGTTGCTTTGAACCTATGCTGACGATTTCTTTCTGAACAGCCCTCAAGGTCGTCGATGTCTCCAAGGGCACCAAGAAGACCAACTAAATTCGGTAACAATGGAATGAACGGAGAATCGGAGTGCGGCGTGATTGGTTGTTGATGCATGCAAGACCAACTGTTGGGGGGATACATGACGCGGGCTTGGTCCCTCTGCGAGCCGACACGGGGAAAACTCCGTGGCGTGGAACATGAATTTTACGTCGGGGGAGTTTCTTTGCGCCTTTGAAACCGGCTGCTGTCATTCACCGGCCAGGCGACTCGCATTTTCTGGACGCACTCGAGGAACACTTTTGTCGGAGGTTCCAGTCCCTACAACCCAATGAAAAAAACAGTTGAAATATCATTACTACATAGGTTTCTCCTCCTCAGTCGAGATTTCCTAACCCATTATTCTCGTCATGGATGTTCTCCCGGCTTCGATCTTCCAAGGCAACAAGTAGACGGATAAATACTGGTGTAGATCGACGGACCTCGGATTGTCCAGGCATTGTAAGGGCCTCCGGCCTTTTCTCTCGACTCAACTTCATATCGACGCATAATCCTGTTGTGATCCGTAGCCAAATAATCTCGCTGGCATTGTGACTACAGTGACTGCAGTTCTTTTTGTCCTTTGATGGCTCGACCGAAAGCAATGACAAGGCCTATTTTTACCCGGCGTTATTCTTTGATACGGTTCGAGACTGCCTCGCCTCCCCAAGTCCTTGTTCGAGCCTTTGTTCGAGTCTACTTCATACTTTTCCTCGCATAATACCATTGTTGGGGATGACTATCGCCAACAACAGGTGTTCACAAAGCCCTTTGTGGTTCTTTTCTTCTCGTAGAAGTCACACCAAGGATGTCTATAGCGAGTCTCCTCGAACCTACCTATATAAATCCACTTGGACCTCGTCTAAACTGAAGCAAGCTATCAACAACGTTGACAATATCGGCATACTGTTCTTCTCTACTTATCTCGGTTAAGTAAAAATATATTGTCTATCCAGAATCTCATCCGGTTTTCGACATGGGTTCATTCAAACTACCCAACGAGAGTATAATTGGAAATATGTGTCACCAAAAGCCATTGGTCTCTGCTATGGGCAATCTTAGCATGTTTCCACCGGAGATTATCTTCAATATCCTGGATGAGATTTTGGGGAGCTCCCCCAGGTTGACGCATGAGAATTTTCACGCCATCAACCAGCTAATGAAAGTTAACAAGACACTAGAACAATACATCAAACTCGGATGGATGAGTACCAATGCGTCGAACAATTTCAAGCAGCGCGTTAATTCAGTCCAGTGGTATCCAAATATCATTAATGCGCATAGATCTCTAACCTTCAAGGGCGTAGACCACAATTGCATCATTCCCATTGAAGGTCCCCGCGACCTCGGCCCCGATCTCATCACAGGTATCATTTTTGATGACTGCACCGATTGCTTTGAGCGGTTCTCCGAGGTACTGCCTCCTACCCACATGAGCTGTTGCAATGAGGGCGGTTGGTCATTTATTTCTCTGGCACTGCATGCTAAATCCGAGAAGCTACTTGATCGTTTCTTCGTCTCAGGCTTCCCTTACGAATTGGAGAAGTTTATCACCGGTAGTAGTAATGCTATGGGGAGAGGGCCGTCAATCCTTGGGCTTTCTGCCTCGTCTGGGGACCATCAGTCTTTCGCCAGGCTCTTCAGGAAACTGAAGCAAATCTTGAACGGGCGCGGCTTCCAGAGGACTCTTAGAGATAAACTCACGGGTAAGGAGCGAGCAGCTATCCGAAGTGTTGCTCCTCAGTATCTACAGAAGATGTTGTATGAAGCTGGTCTGGCTGCTATGCATCCGACTCTACGCTATAGTCCGTACTACTCTGGTAAGCGCACCCTGATGTACTAGTCTCCTCGATCCATGTAGTTGCATATATGTGCTCACGCTTCAGATAAAATCACTATCATCCTCCGAATATTTATCTGTTTGTTCCCTGGTAGCTATCTCATGATGTTCATGTCATTGACCTTGTTTTCTTTTACTAACTCAACCCTTGTCTTCATAATACCACTTTCTTCTGCATTATCAGGTGTTAGTATCCAGCGTTTATAACCAACCAGATACAAGTTTCCTTGCCTTAGGTACAGTAGTTTCATATTACCGGATAGACCTCAATCCTCTGGATGTTTAACTAACTTAGTACCCAGTTATTCATGTAGATCATTACTCTTCAGGCCACGGCACTTAACTTCTATACATATTACCTTCCGCATTACTTGGCACGTCACAGATTCTCTTGGCATAAATCGTTTCATACGTTAGATTAGTGGTCCCATAAGGATACATAGCAGATTCTATATTCCTATCGGCCCGCTACCCCCGGATCAGCACCATTAATTGCCATTATTGGCTGCAGAAATTAGCCATAAAGGCTGGAACTCGCCCCCCTGGCTTCTGCACCCCAAATATGTACATGCGGGACTCTATTCTCCAAGCCTTTGGCTTACCTAGTTCTCTTTGTTAGGATAAAATGGCTGGCCCCATGACTCCTTGCAATGTATCTCCTTGATGGGTCAAACGCTGAGGCTTTTCTATTCAGACCAATAGAATCATGAAAAGTCTGGACTCCGGCTTCCATGTATGATTTTCCACCAGCAATTTTCTATGATAAGTCTTATATTTAAGCCCGACGTTGCGCTTTTGTGTTCAACCCGTGCCAATTGAAGCAGTTGTGTTTGGCGCTATTCCAGGATCAGAACGGACCTCCTTTAGAGACGTAATGCCCGGCTAAATTAATAATTACATAGAGGAATAGACAAAGACGAGCCCTGGGAGGGATGGGTATAAATATAAGAGTCGAGGTCCAAGGTATGTCTTGCACAGACAGAAACCACACAATTATTTATCAAAAATCTAGTGCAAAATGGCAATTTCAAAGCTATCTATGCTCCTAGCCTCTGCATCTCTTGTAGCAGGCCATGGCTATGTCTCCAGCATCGTAGCTGACGGCAAAAAGTAAGTTAATTCAACACCAAAAGTCTCCATACCAGCAGCCAACTAACCACATCATCAGCTACACTGGTTATATCGTTGATAAATATGCCTACATGTCAGACCCCCCAGAAAGCGTCGGCTGGGCAACAACGGCAACCGACCTCGGTTTCGAAGACGGCACTGAATACCAAGACCCGAACATAATCTGCCACCGAGACGGAGTCAACGCAGCTTTGAGTGCGCCTGTCACTGCTGGCTCCAACATTGACATCCAATGGACGACTTGGCCAGACTCCCACCACGGTCCTCTGGTTACATACCTTGCCTCCTGCAACGGTGACTGCAGCACGGTCGATAAGACCACACTGAAATTCTTCAAGATTGAAGAAGACGGTCTCATCGATGGCGCAAATCCTCCTGGCACATGGGCTACCGATGATCTTATTGCTGCTGGGGGCCAGTGGACTGTGAAGATTCCTTCTACTATCGCTGCGGGTAACTATGTCATGCGGCATGAAATTATCGCTCTGCACTCCGCTGGCCAGTCGAATGGTGCTCAGAACTACCCGCAGTGCTTCAATTTGCAGGTCACTGGGGGTGGAAGTGATGTGCCTGAAGGCACGCTTGGTGAGGATTTGTATACAAACACTGACCCGGGGATCTTGTTGGATATTTATTCTACGCTGACTTCATATATTATCCCGGGACCGGCTCTGTATGTCTGAGTCAGTCAGAGCTATAAGGAAAGATCAGGTGGAGGGTGCTTTGGAGGGATGTGACTTTGGATGCCTTGTTCTAGTGTGATTCGAATATCATGGACTGAATACTATGTGCATTGTTCCTTTGATCACCATGACTCTAAATAATCAGAAACCCATAAACCTTTAACAAACCAACTCTATTCTGTTCTCTCATAAGGCAAAGCAATAAACCCACGCACCTGAGCCCCCTCAAGTGCCGCATCAACACCACCTAGACTCAAATCCGTCTTCCGTAACTCGAACTCCCCAAAGAAATTCGGCTCAGCAGAAACCTTCTCAAACCCAAGTCCCTCAAACAAAGCCAAACTCCTCAAATTCGCCTGTCCAATCTTCACGCTAAGATACTCAAACGTCAACCCCTCCGATGACCCCGCCGTCTCAACACCAGTCCGCAACTTCCGCACAGTCTCAACATCAACATCACCACCACCAACAAACTCATCCAGAATAGCACCCTGGTTCTGAACAATATACCGCATAAACATGAGTAGCGCAGCGCGCCCAAACCCACGTCGCTGGTTGACTTTCTCAGCGATCATGAGCTCGACCTCGCCGACAATCTGCGGCGGGCTGTCGCCCTCCTCGCCGTCATCGACGCGCAGGAAGAGGTTGATGTCGCCGACCATAGTAGCCGGTGAATCACTTTCTGTTTGCAGCTCTGTTTGGCTGGGGAAACCGTCTTCGGTGCCTGTTGTGATCGCTCGACAGACGATGAAAGTTAGTTTGTCGGCGTCTTGGCGCCAGCTGCGTTGCATCGAGTATTCCTCTTCCAGTGTTAAGGGTTCTGAGGCTGTTGCTTCTTGGATTTCCTAGAGGATTGTAAGAAATATGGTCGATTACATCTAGGGTTTTATTGATATTGTTTACTTACTGGGTCTTTCATCCATTCGTGGTATCGGGGTACGTGCCATGATGAGTACGGGACTAAAAGGGCTTTTGACGAGCAAAGGGCTATTCCTCGAAAGTTGAAATTAGCTTCTGGGGCTTTTATTATAGTCTCGATCCGTGAGCTCTGTGGGAGAAAGAAAGTATATATGTGGGTATGGGCATAGAACAGCGTACCGATGTTGGCATTGAGTAGCATGGTGGTGGATGATCAGAAAATGATCTTTTTTAGTATGAATAATTCAGAATTGTTCAATTGGTATGTATTCTTGCGGAGAAAGACTCATTCGATGTATATCAGGGCCACGATGGATATAAAGCAGAAGAAGTTAGTGGGATGGATTCTTCCAACTGTGGGTCTTGGCGCGTGGAGCCACTCGGGTTGTATACAACTTGTCTGAGCGGCCATGGGGTTTTTATAAATATATCAATACATGTTTGATTTGGGCAAGATGGTTATTTCATTAGTACCATTGATTGGCTGGTATCTCTATCGGTTCATTTTTGTTCTTCCTGACCCTTAAAAACACCAAACCGGACCACCTCGACCTCTAGAGTCTCGGTATCAACCAGAATCAACTCTCCAGTTTCGTTGAATTTAGGAAGTGCTAGCAGACGAACACGGGCTGCATCAGAGCCATCAGCGGCACCTACCATTTCAGTGTCGCCATCTAGGCGGAGAGGGACGTCACCCTCAATCGTGGCAGTCTTGAACTGTGGCTGATTACCAGCGAAAAAGATATGCGGACAGGACTCGATAATATATGGATCTTCAGATTGGTATGGGTATGACCCTGGAGAGTATTGTTAGCAAAATATATTTGAGAGATTGGGATGGTCAAGCCTACAAATGGTGTCCGGCGCAGTGGGCACGCCGCAACGCCAACGAAGCATTGCTTCCATGATTCGCATCCGAGCATCGGAATCTGTATTCTTGTCTGGACTGCTATCGCCGCCCTCGATACTGAGATACCGCAGAACATCGTCAACATTCTGACCGCTGCATCCCCATAGTCGCCAGCCTTCCACGTCGCCGTCCCAAGGGTTTGTGACACTGTCGAACCAGCCCACTTCTGACTTTTCATCTCCTCTGACAGGGGGTGCTGAATATGCCCTTGCTTGAGGGAACATAGTACGGTGAATCCCCTGCTGAGGAAGGGAAAAGTTTGCAGGATCTTTTTCGCCCGGCATGAGTGTGACGGGAATGCTGGGCAAGATCTCCGCTAGGAAGTTATCGAGTTGTGTGATAGGCGCAGCATTGTATGCAGAGGCATCATAGCCATACTTTTTCGGCTGGGCTTTCTTTCCCGCAGCGTGGCCAGAGCTTGTTGACGCAATATCTTCAATTACGCTGGCTCCAAGTGAGTTACCTGCAATGACCAACCGGGAGATTTTGGAAGGACCCAAGGAAGGACTGTTATCGTCATTTCCCGAGAATCCTGTGTAGCCCAGAAGATAATCTGTCAGCAGCTCCAAAGCAAGCGTGTCGCTTGATGTCCCCGTGATTCCCAGGCCACTGACAAAGGCAATCTTGCCGTGTTCCTTTCCAGCAATTTCGACTCTGTCTTCTGGAGCATTGCCATCCCATCGTTGAGGCTGCGGAGCCAAGTCTGGCAACTTGATATCAATTACCTCGAAATCTCCATTCGCATTTTCAGTCCCCAAAGCTGCAATAATGGCACCTGTCGCCAGCTGTGTAGACTGCAAAAAGTTTCCAGTGAGCCGTAAGCGGCCGGACTCATCTTCCATCATAATTTGGGTCAAAGAGGGATCGGAAGGGTCGGTGTAGGTGCGGCGAGGAGGGGGCGCAGATGTGAAGTTCTATGGATTGTCAGTAGGAGAAGAAGCAGTGGCAAGGCTAAGAAACTAACCTCTTTGCTAAGATCCTCCAAAATATTCGGCTTCATTGGCAAATGCATGTATACGGTGCCGGCCACCCAACACAGCTCGCCTTGTCGGACATCGAGGACTCGATCGACACGTCGCACCTTCTCTCCAGCGATCTAAATTTGCGAACAGGTGTCAGATAAATCCATACCCGAGAGCAGAACATATTTCTAAGGACAAAGTGTTCTTACAACAAGTCCATCCCACGCATCCATTGCGACTTGTTCAACGCTGGGCTTCAACTTTGCGAGTCGCAAAAAGTACATGTCGTCATATTGCTGCTGATAGTGCCGTCCTGCGCCGGCTGGTAGGTGGAAGGTAAGGCGAGGATTGTAATGGGAGGGTGTGCGGTAAACCGGTTCCTGTTCCTGTTCCTCCTTACTATCGAAACAGAGTGCATTCAATGGTCAGCGAAAGCTTTCGGTACGTCGCAGCCTGGGGTGAGGCAGAGTAGAACCAAGGGTTATTACCTCGGAGGACACAAGAAAGTGTAATTCTCAGCATCCGGTGCCATTTTGTCCGGAATAATGCTGAGATCTTGTGTTTCGGTGATGGTGGTTGGGGTGGTGATGCAAAGAGATGTGTTTGACGCGCCCCCACGCGTCAATTAGCGCGTTCAATTACATTCCCGCTTCGGGATCTCGTGTTTGACAACTGGTCAAGTTAGTTTTTATATTCAACAATCAAATTGACTCCTGAGATTTGCTGTTGATTTCATCAATCTTATGAATTAAAATGTTCTTTTGCGTTCTAGTCCCAGTAATTCTCAAATTAGGCTTAAAGCAAAATAGAATGACGATGATATCCAAGTATATAACGATAGATCACATTAAGCCGACTCAGAACCTCAGTAATCTATGCTCGGTAATGTTGAAAAAGGCTATATACTCGCTGAGATGTGCAATTCATAAAAACACCATGTATTGCACTATGTTGTGGGATGTACAATGTAGACCGGCTACCCCCTGCCTCGGTCCGTACATAGCTTAGGGTTTCCCCGCATTTTCTATTCTTCACATTCAAGTAGTACAGAAACATATGATTCGCATACATTCTGCATATAAGAGACCATTAACACATAGCCATAGCTTAGTTCCATCCACCTCTTCTTCTTACAACCTACCACCGCCATTTCTCTACGCCGACAATACAACATGTCTCTTCAAACACCACTATGCTCTCTCCTGAAGATTCAACACCCAGTGCTGCTAGCTGGTATGGCCCGCGCATCTGGAGCTCCACTTGCAGCAGCAGTATCTAATGCCGGTGGCCTGGGTACAATCGGCGGACTGGGCTACACACCAGCACAACTATCAGAGATGCTCACAGAGCTCAAGTCACTCCTCCGGGACCCATCACTCCCATTCGGCGTGGACCTCGCCCTTCCACAAGTCGGAGGTTCAGCGCGCGCAACAAATCACGACTATACACACGGCCAGCTGGATGAGTTAATCGAGGTGACCATCTCGCACGGCGCCAAGCTCTTTGTCTCCGCCGTCGGCATCCCGCCAGCGAAGACTATCAAGCGACTCCACGAGGCCGGCATCCTCATTATGAATATGGTCGGTGCACCAAAGCACGCCCATAAAGCGTTCAAGGCGGGTGTCGATATTGTCTGTGCACAGGGTGGCGAGGGAGGTGGTCATACCGGCGAAGTGCCATTCTCCGTTCTCGTACCTGCTATTGTGGATGTTGCACGAGAGTACAAGAGTCCGTTAACGGGCCAACCGGCGCTTGTCGTTGCAGCTGGTGGTATTAATGATGGTCGCAGTCTGGCGGCATCGTTGATGTTTGGTGCTGCGGGTGTTTGGGTGGGCACGCGGTTTGTGGCTTCCGAGGAGAGCAGTGCCAGTCGTTTGCATAAGGAAGCGGTTGTTGGAGCACAGTTTGGTGAGACCAAGCGCACGCTTGTTGTCTCTGGTCGGCCTTTGCGTATGCTGCCAAATGATTATATTAAGGAGTGGGAAGCGCGGCCTGCTGATATTGCCGCGCTAACTTCCAAGGGTGTTGTGCCCATGGTGGATGATTTGGAGAACGAGAAAGACGTCGATGTGCCGTTCCTCATGGGTGATGTCTCGGCCAGTGTTAAGGAGATCAAACCAGCCGGGATCATTGTGAAGGAGATGGTTCAGCAGGCTGTGGAGGTGCTCAAAATCGGAGGCTCATATATCAATTCAACAGGGCCGGCAAGTAAACTTTAGATATATATGTTATCACCTGGTTCTGATGTTAGAATGCAATAATATTTGGCTTAATTTTTTTCCCTTATTGATGCTACTATGACATCTACCCATACAAACAAGATGAAAACCAATAAGTCTTGAAGAAACCAACAACGAAGATGGATTATGCCTTGGTAATCACCAAGAAATATCGAGACAGACAAAAATAGATGGCACAGAACTTCTACATTTTCGAATGCAACACAAATCTTCGGATCTCTGTAAGTCACAAGGGAAAATGAAGCTTTCGCCTTGAGAAACAAGTACAACGTCGAAGACCGAGTCTTCATCGAGGGTAGCCAAAGTTGTTTCAATCAAATCGACATCAGATAAATTGGAATAATCTTAGAAAACCAAGCCGTTGACTCCCGCAGCGTTGCCATTCGCTCGAGCCTCCAAAAGATTTGGGGGCGGGGTGGGACCGAAGACAGGCTTCTCTGACGGTTGCTCAACTCGGGTAGGGGGTGGCTCGAGATCTTCCTCATCACTGATATCCTCCTCGTCATCTTCATAGTCATCATCGTACTCGCTTTCGGTGCCTTCATCATCGCCTTCTAAATGATCATCACCTTCTGCTAGAGCGAGTCCTTCGCCTCGGCCCTGGGCTTGCATACGCCGGCAAAGGGCTTCTAGATGGTGGCACTTTCGTCGCCATCTTTCAAGTTCTTCATGGTTTCGGGTCCGTTCCTCTGCCATTTCCAGGATATTGCGGTTAGTTTGCTCGTGCTTCCGGTTGAGAGTATGGTTCTCCTTCTCCAGGCGCTTGGTTTTCTTGGACATCTCTTCCATCTCCTTGCGGAAGGTAAGGAAGAGATCGTTGCTGTTGTTCAAAGTGTCCTCGACCTGGTGGTCTTCGTCAGCGACCCGGGAATGAGAGGGTTTGTGGGAACCCTTCTGTACCTGTTTGAACTTCTCCACATAGATGTTGAGTTGGCTGCGTAATTCAGCCTCGGTATGAGAGAAAGTGGAAACCTGGGAGGTCAAAGCTCGGCTTCGGTTGGCTTCGACTTCACCAGCACGGCGCTGCTCCTCAAACTTGGAAGCGAGGCTTTGGATCTCAGAGTCCTTGCCACGTAGGAGGCCCCTGTAATGCAGGTCACGCGTGTCGAACTGTTCGCTGATGGTCTTAAGCTTGGCGCGAAGTCTACACATCTCCGATTAGCAAACCCAAAGCCCGAAGAAGAAAAGGGAATCGAAATCGTACGCTTCATCCAGATCAACTTCCACCTTTTCGCTGCGAGGGTTCCCCTTGGCAGCCATGACGTCTTGGATATCATAGAGGAGCGAGTCGAGACGTTCGTTCACAATCAAGCGCGCTTTCTTCTCTGTATCTTCCAGCTTCTTATTCTCATCCTACCAAATCGTTTAGCTGGCAAGTCCTCCGCGGTGTTTGGCGCAATCGTCTCGAGGCGCATGCTGATGGACCCACCTTGACCTTCTTGTTCTCCTTCGTAAGTTCTCGACACAGCTTCTCCAGCTTGTCCTTCATTGTAACGGTCTTGTTGAGATCAGATTTGCCCTTGTCCTGGTCTTTCTGTAGTTGATCGGCACGCTTCTTGCTCTTGGAATAATCACGATCCAACTTCTTCATATCCGCCAACAGCTCGGTGTACTTCTTATGAACGGTTTCGAGTTTGGTCATAGGGGACTCAATGTTGCTCAAAAGCTGGTTGAGATCACGAGTTGCTTTCTTGACCTCGCGCTCTATATATCAAAACCTAAGTTAGTAACCTTAAGTTCTAGACTAACCTCGTGGCCCAGCGGCACCAAGCAAAGAGGAAAAATGCCGCCGCAGAATACAAAGGGAGTCACGCACCAATTTCTGCCTCTTGGTCTTTCTCGCCGGCGGCATCTTGCTCCAGCTGGGAGATCTTGGCGGCTAAAAGCTTGGACGTCTCGTTTGGGTCGGCCGCTTTCTTCGCCTTGTTCTTCTTCGCCATGGAGGTGGACGACATTGCGAGGTGTTTGCGTGGGGTATCGTAGAAACCACGTATTTGGTGACTCGATTCACGGGGGGTTGGTACGAAGGCCGGAAGCCGAAAATTTGCGCCAAATAGGCGGGATACAGGGTAGGATGTAGACGGATCAATCACACGGAGAGGAGATCCCAGAGGCAAGGCTCACGAGCGAGGTCAGTGGCTCTGGGATGTGAGAATCGTTCGTTTGACGTATCGTTCGGGAAAGAGCAAATGTTGGTCTTCGGAGCAGAACTTCGACGAGCGGGCGGCCAGTGAGGCTTACGCTAGCATAGATGATGTAAGCCTGGGCGGTGGACCCTCCAGGGCTGGACATTTTCGACTCCGGGGTCACGAACTTGTTCTTTACGATCGTCAACTACTCATAATAATGTTGCGCTCATCGATGCGCCTCGGTACGGCGCGAGTGCCAAATTCCCACCCGCTTATCGGTCGCTCATTAAAGTCAACGCAAACGATCCTTCCCCGCAATACTTGGAGAGCTGCATCGACGGTGACCAACTTGGATAACTTCCCCAAGGTCGGCGAGAAGCTCCACGGATTCACCGTACAGGAAAAGAAACATGTTCCTGAGCTTCATCTGACCGCAGTCTGGCTGAAACATGACCAGACCGATGCAGACTACATGCATGTTGCCAGAGATGACAAGAACAATGTGTTTGGAATTGGGTTCAAGACAAACCCGCCGGACGCTACTGGCGTGCCTCATATTCTGGAGCATACCACACTATGTGGCAGCGAAAAGTGAGTAACATCATATTGAATACCTCTATATCTTTGCTGACCTCGTGCTCCTTCAAGATTTCCAATCCGTGACCCGTTCTTTAAGATGCTTCCGCGCTCCCTCTCAAACTTTATGAATGCTTTCACAGCTTCCGACCACACTACATACCCATTTGCCACGACCAATCAACAGGATTTCCAAAATCTTCTTTCTGTTTACCTCGATGCGACCCTGCACCCGCTTCTCAAGGAATCGGATTTCCGACAAGAAGGATGGCGCTTGGGCCCCGAGGATCCGCGTGCTGGAGAGTCGGTTCCCGGACAACCCGAAAAACAGCTTTCATTGGAGGACATTGTGTTCAAGGGTGTTGTGTACAACGAGATGAAAGGCCAAATCTCTGATGCGAACTATCTCTACTATATCCGCTTCAAAGAGAGCATCTTCCCTTCGCTGAACAACTCGGGTGGAGACCCGGAGTATATCACAGATCTCACTCATAAACAGCTATCGGAGTTTTCGAAACGCAACTACCACCCCAGCAACTCCAAGATCCTTACATATGGTGATATGCCTCTGGCTGATCACCTGAAGCAGATCGGTGCCGTCTTGGATGGGTTCCAGAAAGGACAAGCGGATACTGATATCAAACTGCCTCTGGATCTCACCAAGGGACCTCTTAACGTGACTGTTCCTGGTCCCGTCGATACATTTGCCAGCGAAGACAAGCAGCACAAGACATCCACGTCCTGGTACATGGGTGACACAACTGATATTGTGGAAACTTTCTCTGTAGGAATCGTGTCCTCGCTTCTTCTCGATGGCTATGGCTCACCCATGTACCGAGCCCTTGTTGAGAGTGGTCTTGGCTCTTCTTTCACACCAAATACGGGTCTTGACCCATCTAGCCGGACTCCCATCTTTTCGGTTGGACTAAACGGCGTGACTGAAGCGGAAGCCCCAAATATTAAAAATGTGATTCAAAACGTTTTCCGTGAATCCGTTTCTGCTGGGTTCAGTGAGGAGAAGGTTCGTGGATTCCTTCACCAGCTGGAGCTCTCTCTACGCCACAAGACTGCAAACTTCGGAATTGGCGTAATGGAGAAGACCATTTCGACTTGGCTCAACGGCTCAAACCCTATGAAAGAGCTGGCTTGGAATGATGTCATCGACGAGTTCAAGCGCAGATATGCGAAGCCTGGTTATCTCGAGTCTTTGGTGGAGAAATATCTCATCAACGACCAATGCATGACCTTTACCATGGTCGGCACTCCCACTTTCAACAAAGAGTTGGACGAGAAGGAGGTGGTGCGAAAGGACAAGAAACTTGCTCAACTTATCGAACAGCACGGATCAGTTGAGAAGGCTGTTGCTAAGCTTGGAGAAGAGGAATTGGAACTCCTCAAGATCCAAGAGGATGCCCATAATGCCGACTTGAGTTGCCTCCCGTCGCTGAGAGTCAAGGACATCTCGCGAGAGAAGGAGCGCAAGCCTATCCGCGAGTCCAAAGTCGAGGGCGCTGACGTCGTCTGGCGCGAAGCTCCCACCAATGGCTTGACCTACTTCCAGGCCTTGAATGACTTTGTCGACTTACCCGATGAACTCAGGTTGCTCATGCCCCTGTTTAACGACTGTGTAATGCGTCTGGGAACTGCCAACCGGTCTATGGAACAGTGGGAGGATTTGATCAAACTGAAGACCGGAGGAATTTCGACCTCGTCATTCCTTGTGTCCTCCCCAACGCACTTGGATCAGTTCAAGGAGGGCATGCAGTTCTCTGGATTCGCTATTGACAAGAACATCCCCGAGATGCTGGAAATGCTCTCGGTTTTGGTTACAGAGACGGACTTCACGAGCCCTGCTGCGCCTGCGATGATTCAAGAACTTCTAAGGACGACCACCAATGGAGCTTTGGATGCCATTGCGGGAACTGGTCACCGATTCGCCGTTAATGCTGCAGCTGCCAGTCTTTCTCAGAGCCTCTGGATCCAAGAGCAACAGTCTGGTCTTGAACAGCTGCAAGCCACTGCTAACCTTCTCCGAGATGCAGAGTCCTCTCCAGAGCGTCTCCAGGAGCTGATCGAGAAGCTTCGCCTCATCCAATCCTTCGCCATCTCTTCATCCAACCTTCGGGTTCGTATGGTGTGTGAAAAAGAGAGTGCTGGTAACAACGAATCGATTTTGCAAAAGTGGATTTCCGGACTGCCTAAAACACGTTCCCCAAGCGCCAATCTCACCACCACTTCCTTCAAGTCGGCGGACAAGGCCTTCTATGATATGCCGTACAAGGTCTATTACTCAGGCCAGGCTCGCCAGACTGTGCCATTTGTTGATCCATCTAGCGCTCCTCTCAGCATCTTGTCTCAGCTTCTCACCCACAACTACCTTCACCCCGAGATCCGGGAGAAGGGAGGTGCCTACGGAGCGGGTGCTAGCAACGGGCCCATTAAGGGCCTCTTCACCTTTATGAGTTACCGGGACCCGAACCCTTTGAATTCGCTCAAGGTCTTCAAAAACAGTGGTATCTTTGCTAGAGATCGTGCTTGGTCTGAGCGTGAGATTGAAGAAGCTAAGCTTGGAATCTTCCAAGGTCTTGATGCTCCTATGAGTGTCGACGATGAAGGCGCCCGCTACTTTATGAGCGGCGTTACCCACGAAATGGACCAACGCTGGAGAGAACAGGTTTTGGATGTTACAGCCAAGGATGTCAACGCGGTTGCTGACAAGTTCCTGGTGAATGGCTCGCGACAAACGACTTGCGTTCTGGGTGAGAAGAAGGACTGGGCTGATTCGGAATGGGAGCTGCGCAAGCTTTCTATGGATGCCGCCGCGTAAGCGATATCAACCAAGGATTGGCGTTCAGCAGTTGCTTCCTCTCTTCTTTGCACAACCTTCCTCTAATCTGGATATGATCCCTGTTGAAGGAATTGCATCACGACTTCCCCTTCCCATGTATTTCTATATACCTTCACCCCCCCTGCATCAGCTCATACCTTGTACATATATCCGTGTATATCCCATCTGTATACATCTCCATTCTACTTCCTGTCTGTTTTCATGTGTTTTCCCCTGTCTTGAACCCCAACCGCGCTGAAGATATTCACGTGCTTCGGCACCGAGCTAATCACATCTCCAACCAGTCACTACCTTTGGTTGCAAGGTGTCGCATTCATTTCCATCAGGATGCTCGCGCAAGAATAAAGAGGATGTGAACCGCCAGGTACACTCCTCTTCTCCGTTTTCAGACCCGTCCTGGCCCTATAAGTCTACACAGGACGGACTAAAAACGAGGGAACATAAATATTGTCATAAATATATAGAATTTGTAGAATTCGTAGAAATATCAAGAAATATCAATGCCAATAAATCTTTTTGCATGTTTTTGACTTAAAATGAGGAACAATAATTGGTCAGGCGCCACAGCCCTGGTAAAAGCGGAGAAACGGTAATTCCCCCTGATAAGCTCCGATGTAACTGTGTCGGCTTACCCTCTTCTCCAATTGTTTTGATCAATTATCCCCAAGAGTTATGGAGAATTACTCTGAGTAGTCATGAAGAGATCGGGCGCCATGGTCGGCCCGAAGCCGACCAAGGCCTGTGGTGAGTCGGAGATGGCAATGGCATGGTGGAGAAGAGCTAACCAGTTGAAGTAAATTGCCGACGACTGAAGGTATAGACATAGTTACTTTCCAATATGCCAGCAACTAGGGACTTATATCAATCAGATGAAATGCGAAGTATCCGGACCTCCTCCATGTCGCCGTTGCCGTCACACTCGAGCTGCCTGTGTCTTCAAGCCCCGGGCCAATGTGAGCAAAGAATCACAATGGAAAATATAACTCGGACACGGAGCTGACATTCTATCCAGGCATCTGCGATGCATGAATTAATGGAGATGCAGCAAGATCCAGCTTTTGGTTCTCCGCCAGTGATCCCGGATCACCAGTCAATTCTGAACCGGCTGGCCAGGATCGAGTCTGCGCTCGGCATCACCGAGGACTCCCAGGGCCCCGAAGACGAAATGAGTTTGTCTCATGGGCCAAGTCCTGATGAAGATACGGACGCTGTGCCACTGCATGGTGTATGGACAGCGCTTGCGCATTTAAGAGTCATTACCCGTCCTCCTCCAAATGATAGTATCTGGTCACGATCCGCTGTTCAGCAGCTATGGAGCTCGTATGTACTTTTCAAACCAGGATGTGACGGTCGATATCTGACAATGCCACAGCTTCTTAAAAAACCTCCCACTTCTTCACTT